CTGAAAAGCTACTGTACTAGAGACTGTGTGTATTGAAGAGTCACTGAGAATTCTTCAAGGAAGAGATAAGGGGGTTGCTGGTTTCAAAAATTTCAAGCCATTTTTCAGTTTAAACTCAGATCTCCAAAGCAGTGAACAATAAAGCCATTAAAACAGAGACAGCACATTGAAAGTGACAATAAACAAAACAAAAAGTGGGTTACACAGCTGCAAAACTAAAAGCAATGTTAAAATATACATAACAGAAAACACTTCAAACCATTCAATTTTGGTGGAGAACCTGTAGGCTTCCAGATGATCTTAGATTACAAATTCCATCATCTCTGACCATTGCCATGTTGGCTGAGGCCAATGGAACTTTGAGTCTGACAACATCTGGAGAGCTACAAGGTCCACACCCATGGAATAGAATGAGGCTTCTCAAGGGAGCTCTGTATAGCATGGGCTCATTGGGAGTCAGCCCATGGGGACTTTGAGTAGATACAGGCCTGGCAATGCAGGGACCAGCACTGGCTGGAGCATTAGGAACAGAGGAAACTGCCATGTATTGAACCCCTTTGTACGACTGCAGCAAGGGAAATAAGCCACAGTGACTACACCACAATCATGCGCACCAGGTCAGTGACCAAGGTTAATGGTCCATTCAGCCTAGTACTGCTGCCACTAGGACCCCATTTGCTTGATCATGATATAGTTATTAGACAGTGATGACTTGTCCATCCACAGCACATGCCTGCTGGATTCCCCCCAATCACCCTTGCTGCTGTGATCTCCGGGTTCCATGCGATCGCTGGGTTCACTGAGCCCATGTGGCATGGCTTGCCTGAGGGGGCAGCAACCCTCATATAATCCATGGGTTGTTCTTGGGTTATTTGAAAGTTGCTGTCCCCTGCACCCAAACAAGCCGAGCTGGGTTTGGATGACAGGGAAAGCTGCTGTGAACTTAGGGGAATTCAGCATGTGCAGTGGGGGAAAGAAGGCTTTGTGGCTTATTACCCTCACTGTGAACTGGTAGTGGCTTTGCAGAGTTTCAGGCAAGAGCCTCTTTCCAGCCCTGCCTGGAGAGGCTGGCAATCCAACCAGGGTCCTTCTGCATGTAATTGCAGGTGCTCTGCCACTGAGGCACATCAACACATGAACGTAAGTCTGGGGGAAGAACCAATTGCATGCCAAGGTCTGATCGCCAGTGTCCGTCTGGGTGGCAGCAGGGATAGGAAAGGCAGGAAACCTGTGCAGGAAGGAAGACAGCCACTTGGAAGAAGTTGGTAGGCAGGAGACAGAGAGCACAGGAGAAGCAGGCAGACTGGCAGAGGCATCTGGAGCAAGAGGAAGGCATCCCCAGGCAGGAGCAGCATTCACCTATTGCCTGAACAAAGGCCCAGGCTGGGTGCAAATGCATTAATTAGCGAAGCTCAGGGTGGATCAATGGGCCACCTGCCCGAGATGAAGAAAGATCCTTGTGCAGGCCTGTGAAGACTTTTGCCCCTTCTTCCAATGGTCTATGGGCCATGAGAAGTCATTTTATACTGTACTAGGCCGTCTGGATTAGCACTGTGTACCCCAACTTCCTCCAACCTGATGCCCTCCAGATGCTTTGGAATTCCATTTCCGTCAGCCCAGGTCAGCATGGCCAATGGTCAGGAAAGATGGAAATTTTAGTCCCAGCCATCTGGAGGGCAGCAGATGGGGAGAGCTGGTTTGCACTGAATGGCAGCTGCTCTCTTAGCCTGCTCCATGATGCTCTGAAGAGGGGAATTAGACCTAGGACCATTTCAGCCAGCCCGGCCAATGGCCAGGGTGATGGGGCTTCCAATCCAACACCTGGGGGTCAGAGATTCCTTGCCTCTAGGTAAACCACCACCATGCTACTGCACCATCACTTTCATGACTCAGCTGTCTCAGCCATGCATAAGCAGGGCTGCTCCTGCCTTCTGAACTTTCCTTATTCAATCCAAAGGCACTGTCCTGTTCTTTAGGTGATTTCAGTGTTTTCTGCAAAAACGCTTGCCGGTGATGCTTCTTCTGTGATCTTTAATAGCCTGTTCATTTTTCCTCCTCTCTTGACTTTCCCATGAGTGAAGCAGGATATCCCAGCCCGAATAAATGCTTCTTCTACTTCTGCCCCTATGGCAACACAAGAAACAGTCCACAGCAAGATGGAGGAACTGGAGGAGCAAATCCTCTCCAAGATTTTAGCCCTGGAGAAAGAACGCTTATCCATCACCAACAACCGTGAAGTGCAGCAGCAAGAGGTGGAAAAGGAGCTTGATGCACTTCAGAACCGGGTCTCTGAGCTTGAACATGGTCAGTCCTGCGAAGAGAGAGCATAGAATCTGAGGATTCAAAAATCTCTCTGTGTTTATACATATTTCACAATGTCAATATCACAATATCTTAGCATGTGCATGTCTGTGTGTATATACAGTATATCTGTGTACAAGCAGAGTATGTGGGGATACCTCTTTCCCACAGTATCTCCATAGCAGGTGCCACACAGCAGCATTCTTGCTCTGAACCTGAAGGTTCCATCACGACATAGGTACTGGCAGATGTCCTCCATATTTTTGGAACACCCTTTTAAAAGCCATCTAAGCTCGTGGTGTCAGTGAGTTCCATAAGTAAATGATGCTGTGCATGAAGAAGTGCCTTCTTTTGTCTGTCCTGATTCCATGGCCAGTAGATTTCATTGGATACCCCAAGTTCTAATAGGAATTAGCTGTTGAGCACTGTTACTCTTGTGCATTTCAGCTTTTCCCAACCTTGTGCTCTCCAGATGTTTGGAATTACGATTTCCAGAATTCCTACTCATTGGCCATGCTGCCTGGAGCTGATGCGAATTGAAGTTCAAAGCATCTGAAGGGTGCCAGGTTGGGGAAGGTCAGAGTAGTCAGTGTAGACGAAAGTTGATTGAATTTATGGTTCTAAGGATAGCTTCTTCTATGATCTGTGGTCTTGTTTCCACTGCAGCCCTTCCTCATTTTCTTGACTTCCCCCAATTTCTCTGTTATGCCCACAGAAACAGCAACTTTCAACCCTCCAGCAGCCTTCAAGGTCTCCATCCCTGTACGAAACAACTATATGTATGCCCGGATGAAGAAGAGCTTGCCAGAGCTTTATGCCTTCACAATCAGCATGTGGCTGAAATCCAAGGGACCAGCAGCAGTGGGCACACCTTTCTCCTACTCAGTACCTGGGCAAGCCAACGAGCTTGTCTTGCTGGTGTGGGGGAATAATCCCATGGAGCTGATCATTAATGACAAGGTAAAATAGGAAGATCTTGGCTTGGGCAACAGGAAGACACCTTCCTTAAGTGGAGAACAAACTCCTCCCCATTAGGAACAAATGCATCAGCTAAGACAGCCTTGCCCAGCCTGGTGCTCTCCAGATGTGTTGGCCCAGCATAAACACACACACACTTTCTGCTTGCTTCCTAGCAGTCTGCTTTAAGGGAAATGGAAAGAAAATTATTTATACCAAAAGTTTGTCCAGATCACTGCTTTCAGAAGGATTGGTTTAGAAATCCAGCACTCAACCAAGAGCATAGAGAAAAGGAATGACAGGTACTTCTCCCCGCACCCCCTCCAGGATAGCATCACAAGTGAACATGAGACGCTAGCCATATAATTATCCAACCCCCAGCCATTTCCTGATTTGAGTGAATTGCTGGGATGTTGCAATGAATTGTGATCAGTGTTGGGCCTGTCTAACCCCTGCACAGTGCATCCCATACATCTCTTCTAATTTCTAGATAGTGCCCAGAAAATATGTGTAGTGCTCAAAAGCAGTGCATAAAGTACACATATATGCCTTACCATGAATATACTGCAAGAGATGAAATTCCTAGAAGAGAAATAAACATTGCATGTCTGGACTGTAGGCAAAGCATGCTGAAAGAAACCATGTTGAAATTGATCCCAGAAACGCATCCACTAGCAGAATCATTGAACATTCTTACTTCTTTTCCTTCTTTTCTGCTAGTTTTCCTCTACCATTTCCCCATGAAAGCAAAATATAATCCATCGATGTTCTGTTCCTCAAACTGATAACAATAACAATAACAATTTCATAATGAAGGGACTTCTGGGGATGAATCTGGGGAGTTTTCATCAAAACAGTTCTACATATCATGGCATTCCAGTCTCCTCAAGTGCACTGCAGGACAGCAAGGCAGGCATTGCCTGCTTTCTCAGCCAGACTAGACACAATGGCAACAGATGATCTGTGTTTTCCCCAATCTCAGAAAGGTGAATGAATTTTAAGAGCAGAAGAGGCAGAGGGCACTAAATCATCCTCCTGCCTGCTGCTTGCTTTCCTAGGTCTGTTCCCTGATGTTATCTGAAGGGCCAAGCAACACATGACCTTAACTCTACACGTCTGGCCTTGAATGTAAGGGTCTGTGGTATCTTTTTTTATTTTTGTTTTTTTGCAGTTTTTTTGCAATCCAAACTGAAGGCATGTGAAGGCATCCACTATACTCCCTCTACCAGGGTCCCTATTTGAATCAGGGGCCCACACTATGATTGTGTATGTGTGGAGAAGGAACCTTCACTCAAAAGCAGAACCATGCCATTAAGTGTTCTTTGTTGTGGCTTGTGATACCAGAAATAAGGTTGGCTCCTTTTTTTTAAGCATTTGTCAAAGTGACTGCAGGAATGCAAACATCAGCAGGGATGATGGATATTAGTCCAAAATATGTGGAGGGCACCAGGTTGCAGAATGCTGGATTATCTATTTCAGTACACATGATTCCAGCAGCTCTTCTTGCTTGATCTGACCAGATCATTGGTTCCCTTTGCCCAGGGCTGTCTATTTGAAGAAGTTCTCCAAACTCTAATGAAGCGATCTTCCATGCCTCCATGCCACATACAGGAGGCTGAATGTGGAACTTTTTGCATGTGAAAGATACACCATGTATATGACTGAATTATGCAACAGTAGCATCAAGTAGCATCAAGATGGAACTAAAAAAATTGTGCTCCATGCCCCAGAAGGAGGGCAGCAGGAGGAGAGAAACACAATGGAGCTGGTGTGCTGCATTCTGTCATCAGCAAAGTAATGCGCATTTCCTTCCTCACTGAATTCAGAGTCTAAAATCACCTAACTGCTTTACTGGAATTGTGTCTCTTCTCCTGCCCAACAACCCATGTTCAAATTTTTCTAAAACACCAGCCATAGATACCCTTTGGGCAGGTCTTTGCCCCATAACCAAAAACTAAACACACTTAACAGAAGTAAAACAGTGAACCTCAGTAGTTTTCTTTCTCTCCCAAAATATTGTTCATGAAATGATACTGATATTATACAGCAGTTTGTATCAGTCCATTGCTTCTTATCTGTTTCCCTGCTTCAGTCTAGTTTTATCAAAGTTTTTTGCCATCAATGGGAGAGGAATTCATAATCTTGACTATGGTGGGAAAGGTGATGTTAGCCACAGATAAAGACTTCCCCCAACTCTGTTTTTCACTATCCACTCAAGGAAATGATCTGTTTTGTTGTAAAGGTGACTCAGCTGCCTATGACACTAAAGGATGGGACATGGCACCACATCTGCATTACCTGGATCACACGGGATGGCATATGGTCAGCGTATCAAGATGGTGAAGCACGTGGGGGCAGTGATAACTTGGCATCCTGGCATCCAATCAAAGCTCATGGGGTGATGATCTTGGGCCAGGAACAGGTGGGTCTAATTCTTCCATTTCCTTGAAAATTAATAACCAGAACACCTTTCAAGGAACCTGCCTAGACTTCAAGTTCTTGCTTGGTTTAGCATTTTAGTGCAAAAATGGAACATCCTGAAACCAGTAATGGGGTGGGGGAGAAAAGAACCATGTTGTCATATTCTCTTCCTTTAGCAATATACATATTCATAGCATGTGCCATATTGCAAAGGAGAAACTAGAATGACAACCTGACCCTGTTTTGTCCTTTGGATCCTCTGTTTTTCCTTCTCTGCCTCCTTTAACTGGTTCTTTTTCTTCTTCATTGCCTTTCCCTGGTTTGTTCTCCCCAACATGATGCTGCAGGATACTTTAGGTGGAAGATTTGATGCCACTCAGGCCTTTGTTGGTGAAATTTCTCAGTTCAACTTGTGGGATCATATTCTGACACCAGCTGAAATCGTAGGCCTGGCCAACTGCACCCGCCACCTGCAAGGCAACGTTCTCCAGTGGGATGAAAAATTGGTTGAGGTCCACGGAGGGGCAGCCAAGTGGAGCTTCAACATTTGTGAGGACAGGATGAAGGCATGAGAGCTGCTTGTCCCCACAAAAGGAAAGGAGCATGAAAATGACTTTCCCCACATTCAACTTACTTAAGGAATGCAGCAGCAAAAGGGTCCTTTTTCCCAAGCAGAAACATCCTGCAGGACTCTGAGTCAGTCTGGGGAGAGCTGTGTGTGTGACTGCGTGCATGTGTGAAGGGTAAAGAAACCTTCTGAACTTAAAAAGAAATTGTGACACTGTGTTTTTCATTGTTTCAGTAAAACTCTTTCTGATTCATACCATGAGTGGCAAGCCCCTCCACTAAGAAGGCTAGGGTGATTAGAGGGTGATGGCCATACCCAGACATAAGTGCTCAAGGCCATGACTTGATGTTGTGGACAGGGAACAATTGGTAGAACTGGTATCACCAATGTTTTTCTTTTTTCATTTTGCTGATATTTTTAGTGATGATATATGGACACTGAGTGGGATTGTGAAGACTTTTAACACCCGCATGGAGGTGGTTGTTGCCCATGGGAAGCCATCGATAGTTTAGGAATACACAAGCCAATGTTCCTCTAGTCTCTGCATGCATCCATCAGGAATGCCCTACCCTTATCTGCCTTCTAGCCTCTGTTCCATAGCTCCACTAGTAAAATAGCCCCTCACTGTAGACCATAATGCCAACAGATACCTTAATTCTACAAAGGCCTACATTCTTGGTTTACAATGATCCAACATTCCATCCAAGATGCAATTTAATGGATAAGGTATTGGAACTGCTGTATGACCCCCTAGTTATTTAAGAGGGCATAAGATTCTAAATTGCTCTGTCATTTTTAAAAGATTTCATTCCCTTATTTGGTATGACAGCTTTTAAAGAGGGAGACTGTAAATGATAACCATAGAATTCTAACATTCCTTTTTCTCCTATATTTCTTCTTCTCATCCATCCTAAGGGCTGATTCACACATGTACATTCCTTTACTTGACAGCTCATCACTTGATGACTCATAGTGGAACATGTGAATGGCTTCTGTTAAAAAGCATTGTGCCTGATGCAATGTGATATAAAAACTCTTGCTGCTATGTGATGACTGTTTCACTCATGCAAGCCAATATCTGGTGATGGAGTCAGCAAATGTTGGACTTGCATGTGTGAATCAATCAGCCTTAATTCCATAAAGCTTCTTTAAAAAGTAGTCAACACTGAGCACACACAACCAGATTAAATCCTCTGCTGATCCCTGGCAGAGAAATAATAGACAAGCCATAGATTGATCACTGCCTGACAACCCAGTATCCTTGACCAAGCAAGGAACAAGGCAGGCAGGCAGGCATCAGTAATACCTTGTGGCAGGTGCTCCAAATTCCCTCCAACTCTGCGATGCCAAGGGAACACAATAGCTATAGCACAGGTTAGCAGTAGTGCACATGGGCCCTGACTGGGGGCAGGGAGGTGGGTGAGATGGTAAGGAGTATTACTTCAAAATGTAGTAAAGTAAGGTCACTCTGCTGTGTTTGGAGGCGCCTCCTACTCATTTTACTGCATGAAGCCCTGGGCAATTGTCTCAAAGACCTGCCCTGACAGTGCTGCAGCCTTTCCCTGGTGCAGAATGGATCTCCAAGGGTGCGCTTTCTTTGTGGCATGATCCCAGCCCATAAATTTTACAGGGGAGGAGGGTGAGGATTCTCTCTGTTGTTGGAGGCCTTTAAGCAGAGGCCAAACAGTCCTAATAACAGGAATGTCAGGAAGGGCTGTGAGATTGCCCATCAAGCAGTGAGCACCCAGAGAGTGGCCTGAGCACAGGTAACCCTGCCAGGCCCTCTACAACAGCTGGGTGTCTTGTGCTTCTTTCAAAATAGTGGATGTTCTTTCTAAATTTCCACCTGTACACATGAATTTATTTATTTATTTATTTATTTATTTATTTATTTATTTATTTATTTATTAAAAATGTTCTATGCTGTCTTCTTACCAAATAGTCTCAGGACAGTTTTACAATAAAACAAAGTAAAGCACAGCATCATTTCTATAAAGTGAAACCCCAATTGAAATAGCAATTTAAACGTTAAAATACTGGGAAAATAAAAATGTTTCAGCCTGGTGCTGAAAAGAGTACAGTGTCAGCATAGCGCATTGCTATCCTCTTTTGACTTCTTTTCTTGGAGATGTGTTTTCACTTCTGTGTTGATACAGTAAATGGCCCCTCTAGGGTCGACTGACATTCACAGGGCTTCAGTACTGTCTGTCCCAAATCTCACTGATTTAGCAGCTTTGAAAGCAGAGGATCACTCTCCAAGGCCAGCTATTGGCTGTGACACAGGGATCTGGTTACACAGCTGAGCAAGACCAAAACCTCTCACCTCTCCTCAGTAGATCCAAGCCATCGCAGTAAAGTGTAAGAATGCACATATTTATGCCACTTGCCATAAGACAGGGCTACCCCACACTAACTGGCTCACTTGTACCTGAAGAGAAGCCATCTCCTGGCAAAAGTAGGATGGATCTGATTGTATGAACCCACAACCACCTGCCTTCGGGCAAACATGCACGAATCTAACGTGAACTTGAAGTTTAAAAAGTGGTGATAAAGCCTGAGTGGAGGCCAGAAGTAGAACTCAGCACAAAAGTTAGCTGTTCACCTAAGACATGTACAGATTAAAACAAAAGGCACCTGGAGAGGGTCTTTTCCAACAAATAGCCTGAATACTATTTTTAAAAAAATCCAAACACTGCTGACACTGCTGGCACTTGCAAACCTTAAAGCCAGGATCTCATAGAAGCAGCTAATGGGGATTATCATTGGTGCAGTGGTAGTTTTTTCAGCTCTTCTGACCAAAGGGCTTCTTGTAGGCCACATCCATAATAATGCATTTGCTCACTGCACAAATGATACGATGTCCGTGTGCACCCACGGGTGATTGGGACTGTACAAATGCCTCAGAAAAGGCTGTGTGTGAGTCAGCCCTTCCTAGGGCCACTTCTGCTTGAGGATAATGCCATGCCTGTGTGCTCCTGTTCTAGTTCTAGTACCTGCCACTTTATAGTCTCATTGTGCCATGTCTGGGGAGGGATTTTACAATACTCCTAAAGCAGCTGATGACTAGTTTTCAGAACTCTAGAAGAAACAGGGAATGCAGAGTTGGCTGGGGGCACTAGGAAGTCATCCAACCTGGCCAGTGCTGTGTGGGTTGGTGATGTATGTATGCCCTTTGAGTGCCTGGTACCACAATGGTTTTGAAACCTGTGAGTTAGCGACATCTGTGAGTTATTTTTTCTCCATTTGGAGATCTTGTGATTGCCTGCATTGTATTTTGTTTCCTCCCCCATTGTAAACTTTCCTCTTGCCATAACTGGTGAAACAAAATGTTGGATGTTCTCTCTTTCTCTATCTGCTTCTCTCTGAACGAATGGGGTGAGGGAAGGCAAAGCAGAAAAAGTTATTTCCGATTATATTAACAATGTTTGGCTCCTCCTCCTCCTCAAAGGATGTTGTATGTTGTACAAAGCAATGGGCAAAGATCTAAACTGCAATCACATATCCTGTTACATACGAGTATGAGGTGGATAAAACTATTTATTTTGCCAGGTGTTCATCATAGAAACTTACTGTGTGGCACCGTAATTGGCCCTAGTTCTCCACAGTATATAAATGTGGTAACATGAAAACATGTATCTGCCTTGACTTTTACAAGAAGCACTGTTATTACACACAAAACTTTAACATGTGCCCAATGAATATAACATGTCGAGCTGCCCTGAAATTTTCCTGTTGCTAACAGGACACAAACCATTCAGATTGAGGAGACTGTGTGAGAATGGATGAGGGGATGGAAGCAATCCTGTTCAGATCGTAAAACACTGTGATCTTAATGTACCAAGCTTGAGAGGGAAAAATACACTTCGAGTCACTTTCTCACTCTCCTTCTCTCCCCCCTTTCCTCCTTTTGTACAGCTGTTAAACAAGATTTGACATGTGTGCACACATGTATGTGTTGTATGTATTTTTTGTATATTTTACGGTTGACAATAAACTTGGTGTTTATATTTGATTCTCTATAGGATGTTCAGGAAATTACATACTTGGTAATAAGATGACTGAGCTCATGAGAAATCGCAGGGCTCAGAAAAAGGCACACGTATTCAGGGAGGGTGAGGGAGATTATTGTCATGGTCCAGGACCCTAACTCATCATTCCCACAGATTAGGGCTCCTGACTTAATGGATCAGGAAGAAGGACTGGTTCGATTCCTATTCAAACTGGGTGGGCAACCTGCAATAATCCAGATGTTTT